CACTGCATGAGGTTAAACGGGCTCGTGTCCTCGAGGGGTCTGCTGTGCTGGAAAAAATGTATGACCTGGCGGGATCCACTTGGGAATTCAAACGAGACAGCTCAGCGTGTGCACGGGGTTCTGCCTTGCTCTGCCAGGTTCGCACGTTGCACACCATTCGGAATGCATATACCTAATCACTTCCCAGGCTATCGACGAGCTGGCGGAATACAAAGTCAGACACATCGTGCTCACAACGCAAACACATTACGCACTGGTTCACCTCGGCGGCGACTCTCAGCTGCGCATGAGCAGCGTGTATGAAATCTGCCCATCTACCGCCAGCCGTCAGGCGGCCGACATGGCCCACCTCGTCCTCTTCTACGCCCATGCAGGGCTGTCCGAACCGCTGGACTGCTCAATAAACCCCGTTACCACCTACCGCGTCGAAGTCCCGTCTTTCCCGCCATGGATATTCAGGCCCTACAAAGGCAAAATTTGTGTCCGCGATACCGTGCGGTCGGTGACATTTTCTGCTGGGAAACCATCCTCGGCCCGGTGGATGTCGCCGTTCATTCCTTTGAAAGTGGAGGGATATGCTGAAGACACTCGACACGACGGCCACATCCGAATCATCTTTGTCAAGTTGATCTTCGCCATCTTCCAACGCAGCGCGGTCGCGAAGGCTGCATATGGCCTTTCCGCATCTGCTCGGATCGCGCACGAGTTCGACGTCTACAATGTCCTACGTCGTTTGCAAGGCTTTTCGATCCCGACTCTATTTGGGTTGTATCGCAGTGACGAGGAAGGCTCCAGCGCGGTCCTTATCACGAGCGATGAAGGCACAGCTTTACACAGCTTCGATGACCTTGGCCTACAAGATCGGTTCGTCTCCCCATCTTCCCAATTGTTGTTCTGATCTCTGTGTAGGCGTACTCTGGTGCAGCACCTCATTCGTATTCACCAGGCCGGCGTTGAACACCACGATGTTGAGCCTCGAAATGTGGTCTTGTCCAGGACACGGGGTCCCACTATCGTTGATTTCGACGGTGCGTCGCTTAACCATCGTTGCGAAGGGCGAGGTTGCGACGAACTTCGTGAGGTCGCTAGGCGCCTGGGAATTGATCTTGGTCGGTCTATGGTCGCGGTTGAAGATATCATCAGCTCATGTTCATATTTAGAGGGCGAACTGGGAACCAGGTCGAAGGCCACATCCGTCGCGATCGTCTGGGTTATTTTGTGGACCGCGATGGTGCTCATACTCACCGTCGTCCTCATTAGTTTGTCTGTGTCCTTCCGAAGATACGGACTGGACCTTTCTCCTGTCAATCCATTCTAATGCCCAGTTCCGAGTCGTGGCCCGGCGGTGGAGTAGAGAGCATGTCGTTGTACTGTACCGAAACATGTATCTTCAAGTAAACCCAATCTGGAACCCTTTCTCCGCTACATACGTTTCATCATCACTTATACATGAATCTTCTTCTAGCTATTCTGTTGCCTGCCACCATTGTTAAACCACTGCCCTGTCGTCGACGTCTTCACTTTCTGAAATATAATGAGTGATTTAAAGTCCCGCGCAGCAGAAATTCTCTTGTCCAGCATTGTTTCCTTGTGTAATTACACTCTTCCGTACCGTATCGCGTGAACCAAGTTATGTACCTCAAGTGAGTCCAGCGAAAGCCCTGGGAAATGACTACAAAGGACAGGATTCAACGGAGGCGTCCTGCGTTTTGCAGCGACGGATTGTGGTCTGATACGACGGAGGATATATTGTTTGTGATTATTCTCATTTCTCTGGGAATACATTTATACCACGACTATTCATACGTCCAGCCAGTTCTTGAGAGTCCATGGAGAATGGGAACCCACCTAGACATTCAGCAGCTCTAAATCTATGACCCCGGCACGCCCAGCCTGGGTGTGGGAGAAGGTGGGCGCTGCGGCGTGCGAGGCACGGGAAATGTCGTGCGAGACACTCGATGAGGGCGCGTATGATGCGCTCGAGATGTCGCCGTCGTCCACCAGGTCCTCCTCCTCGGGGTCGGACACGCTCTCGAGTCTCATAACGTCATCGTCGTCGGCGCCGGGCGATGTCGGCGGCTCGTCCTGGATGGAGCAGATTCGCGGCCGCGTTGCTCGCCTCACGCTGCAGCAGTAACACCCTGTCGACGAAGAAGCTGCGATGTTCGTACTTTGAGCCGGCGCGGCCGTTGGCACAGGAGAGTAGCAGGGCTACATTCTTTGTCGCCGCAAATTTCGGGTCGTTCTTCAACGCCGCGGACGCAATGACAAGGCGGTTTGCCACGTTCAAGAAGCTCCTACAGTCCACGTTCATCGAAACCGAAGTCCAGCGGCATCATAGGACGGAAACTCCTACCACTGAGCAAGCTTTTCTTGCTGGCTAAGCTTCGGGTCGTTGACCGTCCTTGACAACATACCGTGTTTGAACCCGTGAAATGACGGAAATACCAGGCACGTACCCAGGTCCAAGAGATTTAGCAAACGCACGCGATAATTTGCGGTTGGCCTCGTAAAGGTGGCATTGGTTCTTGTGGCCGTTGCTCCAGTCTTGCTTCTGACATTCTTTCTACGGATTTGTTAGGCTTCACAATCCCGCCGATCAGCCCAGAGCGCGCGCCCCGAACAATACTTGGCCGCTACGCACCCCGCGCACGTTAAAAAAGACCCCCTTGCCCGTCAGAGACGCCTCGGCACGCCCACACGCATCGCACTCCGGCACCCAGGCATGCCAGACAGTCTCGTTTCCATCCCATATAGACCCGGTCTCTTCTTCATCTTCTGAGGACATGTTGGGGAGAGCGACGGGAGAAAAGACAAATTGAATGAAAGGGAAAGACCGAGCTTCGGAAAATTTGGAGGCGGCTTCGGCGTCACGCAGGAGTGGCCGGATTCGGTGCTCGACAAGGATCGGGCTTCTCCTCCATGTTCCATTCACTTCTGCATAAGAAAGATACCGTTTCGCAAGGCGTTAGAGAAAGATAAACCGGACAGATTCGAAAGTGAACTTCGGACCTCGACCGCGGTGAGATCTGCAGCTGGTCTCCGGGGTTGTCCAGTATAGCCGACGAGATGGGTACTCTGGCCCGAGCTATGTACTGACTTTTGACAAAATGATCCAGACAAGAAATAGACTGAGACAAACATGAACGGCGGATTCTATCCGCAATTCTCAGCTGCGAGACGCAGGCCGACACGATGATACGACATAATCTGCCCAACGTCCGTCGTGCCGTGCTCGTCCAGGTTTGTTGCGGGGAAAGAAGCAGTAGCCGAGACCCTGGAAGGAACGGACGTGCGATGGTAAGGCTGTTGCTGGAGAGAAAGCAACAGGAAGGAGAAGAAATCCGTCGTGATGGCTGGAAGCAAGCCAGCGGCCCGGCGTTTGCGGTCCGATGGAAGTTGACATGTGTTACGGCACACGGCAATCCGTTCCTGCTTTCGACCACCACGGTCCACCAGTCACCCACCAGCACCTGGCACTGGGCAGCACTTGGGCAGCACTGGCAGCGACTAGATTTCTCCCTTACTTCGAAAACTCTCCTGTGCCACCTTTTCTTGAAGATGAAAACTGAGTCGAAGACGGATCCAGCTCAGTGAGTGAGCACTTGCAGCTGCAGAACCCTCGCCTCCCAGCAACAAGAACAACAAACAACATCCGAGTCTGTATCGCTGATGCCCTCTTGCAATGCAATTTCCACGAAGCGTGGAATAAATTGTCCAATCACAGGCTTTTTCTTTGCAAGTTCTGCTGTCGTCTTCATTGACAAACCGACGATGGGCATGCCGATGCCTGAATGTACGTTGCACGGCTTCATGAGATTGCGATACATTTTCTTTGCGAATAGATTTGTCTGCTTCTGCCCTCGGCTACTCGCTCCATCTCGGCGTCGTAGCGTCCGCGCCATCGACTCGCCATCTCCGCTACGGAGAGAGTTACAGATTTGAGAAGTGGGCATCGCTCTGGGAGCATCGGCAGCAGGGAAAGATTGGCCTGTGTCGAAATGCCTTCGAGGTGGAGAGTTTCCAGACCGGGGGCAAGAAATAGCCGCACGGAGGAGAACCATGGCATTTTACGGACATTCCAGTCGAGGCGGCGCAGATTAGGGAACATGTGCGGAGTGGGAAGGGACATGGCCAGCATTTCAAACACCAAACACCAGCCGGATGTGTCGGCTTTCGGATCGTATTCCGGAATTTCCCAGTCGTTTATCGAAAGAGCTTTGACACGGCCAGCGTATACATGAAAGCGACTCCAATCCTCGGGCTCAATAGCACGGCGAGCACCCTGGAAGAAATCAGCCTGTTAATCGCTTCCGCAAAATGTTAAGCGTTACACACAACATATGTGCATGTGCGACTTGGCCACCCTGGGCGCGCTGTAACAGTGTACTCCCACAGATCGTCTGGCATACAGCGAAGAATATTTATGAGTGTATCCTGCTCCACCCACAGGATATCGAGGGCTGGTCCACTCAGCAGGTGACAAACGCGGGCCAGGCAACACAACGCGTGCTCGTATCCGCGTAGATGGCCACATAACATGTGAATGAGTTCAAAGATTTGGAGGGCGCGATGCATTGGACCTGAAAACGGATAGTGGTCAGAGGAAAGAAACGACGTGCACTTGACGTACACACAATCTGTACTGCCATTTTTGTGCCACAGTATTTGCTCTCGTTTGCGCGGCGGCAATCCAGTTAGTTGGGGCGATGCCGAGGGGACGGATCATCGGTAGGACGGATTTCCAGTTGCAAATAGAACAGGGACTAGGCTACGCTTCCTGCAGCGGGGAGAGCGCGGTAAATATACCCTCATGTTCTTCACCCGTCGAGCAAGAACATTTTCGGCCAAGTTCCGGCCTAAAGGGGAATTAAACCCAACCGTGGGAAGTTGAATGGCGCAGCCTCGTCAAGATGGCCAATGGCGACATCCACGTCCTCCCCTGTTAGACACACACTTAATCTGGGGAGGAGCAAACAGAAGACGCTATAAACCTCGGATGCACCGGCGGGGAATCGAACCCCATCTCGCCATTATAGAGATTTGAAGATCTACATCTCATTGGTGCGTGTTCCATACACCACCGATGCTCGTATCCTGTTTTTTCGTCCTTCATACGATCTGCTCTTGAAATGAAATAATGCTGCTCTGAATTATATACTAGGGGAATGACTGGCAAAACTCAGTGCCCGCAGGCGGCTTCGGCAGACAAATCAATAAAAAGACGTGATCATTCATGCACCGGCGGGGAATCGAACCCCTCTCACCGTTGTAACTTCAAGGACGAACGATATTGCTGGTGTGTGCTCCAAGCGCGACCGGTGCTCGTACCCTCAAGGTCTTACCCCTGGACCGTCGAGCATAGACAGGATTGCGGTCGAAGGGGAATCACCCAACCGAAGGGAAGTCGAATCGTACGATGAGCGTCTCGTTGAAATGATCAGTGGTAATATTCTTGCCTTTGAACACAAACTCCATTGAGAGGGGGAAAAAAATACTACCAATCCACGCTATGCACCGGCGGGGGACCGAACCCCCTCTCACCATGATCACTTCAGGGATGAATAATATTGCTGGTGTGTGCTCCGAACACCGCCAGTGCGTATAGCCTTATGTTTCAAACCCTTGGAGTAAGGTTTTCATTCGAGAAGTACTAAATCCAACTCGCAGCTTTCGCGAACCTTTCCCGACTTCAAGGATTGACCGGTGCTATCACATCCCTCTTGTTTTGCATGTTACAAATGCCTCACGGCATACTTTTCAGCATGGATATAGGGACAAGAAACAAAAACAGACGCGACACAACTGGAATCCTATGCACCGGCGGGGAATCGAACCCCGGCTCACCATTGTTACTGGTGTGTGCTCCGAGCACGACCGGTGCCTCTTTATACTCCCTTATAACCCCATTTCCCGTCATGGCTCTACAGGAGAAAGACTGCAGTGTGGCACTGTCAGTGGTGCTGGCATCAGTCGCAAACTACGAACTTCCCTGCAAGCAAGTTCACCCGTACGTACGTCCCCTTCGATCCTTTGTGGCTGTTGACACGCATGATTCCAGACGAGGAAAAAAGCATCCTTTGCTCCGGTAGCATGCACCGGCGGGGAATCGAACCCGGTCTCCCATCGTCAATGAACTCAAGGTCATGTTACGGAGAAATGAATTACAGGCGTGTGTCACACACCACCGGTGTATGTAGTACTCTTAGCCTTCACCCTGGTACGTGTGGAGACAGTCTGCCGTGCAGGCAGCAGGAAAATAGACCCGCGACGCACACGTGAAGCATGTATAATTTCGTCGGCCAACGGTACTGTAGCTTGCTCTGTGTGTTGCGTCAACGGAGCCATGAACTTCTTACTGCTTCGAATCCCTTAGCCCACGCTAGAGCGAGGATGACTCCGATCAGAGCCAGCCGTTCAACGCGCTGTTGCGCTGTGTTTGTCGTGCTCGTGACCCCGAGTCTGCCTCCCCGTTCGCGCCCACTCACACTGGCAACTCACCCACTCAAGCCCTGCTCTGCGTCTCCAAAGCGCAGTCCAGAACCTCCCTATGGAACGCTATGTCTCATGCCGAGCAATGCGGCGAAGGACTAGCGTCTTCCTCACCGCCGTCGTTTAGCGCCTTGCACGCTAGGCGCAGAATACCACACCCTGGACACACTTACCCCGCCGTGACGAGCACTAAAGAAAGGACCGGGGATATCGCCTCACGCAAACCTGCGTCTCGCGGCCGACCACGTCAAAATCAATTGCATCCCGGGCCTCTCTCAAGTCCTCGACGCTCGCGCCACGCCTTCCGGTATTTATACGTGCCCCCGCGCCTCGCTTCTCCTCGTCGCAAATTCTACACGACAACGAGCCACGTCGCCGCTGCCGTGCTCGCTACGAGTCAACGACACGACTCCGTGGATCTGGCTGTCTCTTTTGCTGAGACGAGGGACGGGGAGCGGGATGAACAGGACGAGCGCGCGGTGTAATGACGGATGGGACGAGTGTGCTGTACACAAATCGGACGGTGAGCTCCTCTTTTACTTGCTCTTCTCTTTACATGCTGCCAGTGACACTGACACATGCCCCAGATCTTGCGCTTGGGCAACGTACGCGCCCTTGTCCATCCCTCCCATTCCCATCTCTCTTTCCTCCTGTCCCGTGCCGTTGGGGCACCCCGGCTTTGTTCTTCGACTCTCCAGTGACCGAACGTGCACCCGACCCGTTGTCTCTGTCCTCCAGGCCGACGCATCTGTCCCCGCGACTTTCCCGCGGCGTGCGTGCACGCGCTCGAGTTTGGCAAGACCGAAGCGTGGATCGAAGTGGTGCCTACGCGACTCCCGTCCTCTCCCACCTCGTTTTCAAGTCGTCAAGTCATCCTGGCTGCATCCGCCGCGCTCGCGTACACAGCGGGCCTCAGCCTCGGCCTCCCCCCGCGCGCGTGATTTACGCGCCTCCCCTCCTCGCGGGGAAGAAGTTTTGGGTGCGGCTCGGAGCCTGCGCATGCTGCATGCTGCAAAAGTGGGCGCGGCGCCCGCCGACATCGGCTCCGTGTCCGCCATCGAAACCCGCGATTCGCGACGTGGCGACTTGGCGGAGTGGATTGCCGGGACAGCGCCGGTGGGCTCGCGCTGGTCGTCGCAAGCGTGGACGGATGGTACGTCGGGCTGCGCCGCGCGGAAGTCAGAAGGTCGTTGGTGTGGTGGACAGTCAAGTCCAACGGACAGCCATGTGGATTGCGTCGGCGCCATCGCTGCGGCCACGACGCGGGGTTTGTGCATGCACACACGGGGAATCCAGGTACTAGTCGACGATACGGACCGCCCGAATCCGCGTAGACGCTCCGCATCATTACACACCAGTTGCGGCCTCGTGCGCCGCGAGGGCTGAATTCGGACGCGGCCAGTCGTGTCATATTTCGTCGTCTACATCGATGTATCGATCCACCTCCCCCCTCCCATCGCTCGAGATTAGACCACACCGTCGCCCATCCGTCTCCCCGTAATCTCGTCAATGCCCGACGTCTTCTACGTGCCCCTTGTATGCGTGCAATGATACATCGCGCCACACTGCTGCACCGCACCACAGCACGCGACCATACACCCCTCGCCCGCCTGTGCGACCCCATCGCAATGCCGCGCGGGGTGCGTCGGCGGCCGTCGTTTAGCCAGGGACGGAGAGCAGGTCATCCAGGGCATCAGAACGAGCGTGTGGGTCCCTCATAACGACGGAACGCACGGTGCGTTGACGGGAAGGTGAGCTCTGTTCTGTACACCTTCTTCTCTCCTTGTTAACGTACGCGCCAGGTCGTTTCGGGCTTGGACGAGGATGCAGGAGTGGATCGAGATACACCCCATCCTGCGCGAGGCGTCCGTCTCCATTGCAGAACATTTCTCCTGCCGCCGGTCTCTTCACGTCGAGCCTCAGCCTATCGAGCCCGTCGTCGCGGTCGTCGCGGTCGCGGGTGTGCATCACATAGGGGGCGGCACCTGAAGATGTAAATAGGCCACGCCGGCGTCTTGCTGCGCCGCACGGACTCGGAGGTCGTTGGTGTGCCAGTGGTGGGCGAGGAAGTTCAAGGTCCAGCACGCAATTATTGCCGGGGCCCCTCCGGCTGGCCAACAATCCCGGCACCCTCAGTGCCTCACCCTCGGCTCTCGAGCGGAGTACACACGTACGCGCTCGGAATCCAAGTACCAGGCGACGCTGCACCCAGCCACCACATTCGCGCAGATGCGCACGTCCTTTGGCGTCATATCACCACCGTCATCCGAGATTCCTGTCGAGACGCAGACGCACCTCGCGGGTGATGAGGTTATCAATACGCCATCTCGTCGACAATGCAAAGCCGTACATCCGTACAGCATAGGCACAAGTGGTCTGGAGGACTGACACGAGCTGCGCGACCGTCCAGCTCGTCCGTCCCGCACGACACGTCAGGGCTTTACGCGGTAGCATCCGCGACCGTATAGCTCCCCGTTGTAATCGTCCTGCGGGTCGCGGGGATTGAGTCGTACATGCGGGCAGCATCGATGACGCGCACTGTAAATCTGCAAGCAGGCCGGGGCGGTGCGGGTTTCGCCCGCGCTCAGCGTCGAGCGCAACACCGCGCGACCGTATACTGATAGCTTCTCACCGCCTGCCCGTCGCGGGCCTCCTGGTTGTATCTGCGGGACAGCATCGATGACGTGTATGCACGCAGGTCGGCGCGGGGAAGGTCTCGCCCGTGCTTGTGCTCAGTACTTGCGATGGCCGCCTCCAATCGTGGATGTCGACGCTTTTGTCTCTAAAGCTCGTAAAGCTCGTCTTCGTCGACTGCGAGATTTCGCCAACGATCCAGATACCTCCATCGTGCGCTGCACGGTGTCCAACGCGAGGAGCACCCTGGGAGGTAGTGCTAGCGCGCACCGTCACGGACTCCGCGCAGACGCTCCCGTCGTGCACGCCAATCACCGCCGTCGTCGTGCAGCCGCGAAGGCGGGATTTCGATCTCGACGCCCACTACGCACTGCGTGTAGGAGCGTTTTCCGCCGTCTCCGAGGCGTCCGCTATATACGCCAAGCCGAGTCGTATACGTGCCGCACAACATTTGCTGAGTCCTGACCGTCGACGCCAGCTGTGCGACCCCCCAGCGTCCCCGCGGCTGCGACCGCCTTCACCCCGTATGGCTTCCCATCGCCGCAATCTCATGGTTTACCCTGCACCTCACGTCGGCGGTCTGCAAGGTAGCGTCGACGCCGTGTACACACACAGGTCGGCGTGGTGCAGGCCTTGCCTGTGCTCGAGACAAACGCTGCACGACCGTATACTTCTCGCCGCAGTTTTGCCTCGATGTCGTATATGCAGATATGCGGCGCAGCTTGGGCGCAGCATCGACGACAGGTACATCTACCCGCGGGCCGACGCGGTGCAGGGCTTGTGCGTACGGGAACCGTTGACGACAATCCGTACTTGCGATGCGGGATGCGTGGTTTTCCTGCCCGACGAGGGGATTGTTCGTGAAGGCGTGGCGGATCGTCTCCCACCTAAAGTGGATGCCGTTTAGCTGTCTGTGTCTTGGCTTGAAGAAGAGCTGTGCGCACTCTCAAGATAGGCTTCTCGC